TCATTGAACATCGACTTCAGGACTTGCATTGAGTTTCGGTGACTCTTCGTTCGGTTCGACGAATACTTCTTCTCTTTAATCACTTTGTCTAACATATAGTGTAACCAAAAAATGTTTGTTTTCGGACAAAACTTTTGCCAATCGTTTTGGTTATTGACTCGCATTTTGCGGTAGACGTCGAACTGATAGTCGCCGCGGCCTTCAAACAGATCCCCGTATTTCTCCAAATCGTCGTAAATAACGAATCCGTCGCTCGACATACGCGACAGCGAGTAGTCTATCAACGATGCGAACACACCGTTCGCTCGCAGACTATAGCTCTTGCCGTTCACACAGTACTCCAGATGAGACACGTGTGCCGTTGACACCAAAACATTGCCCCAATGCATGTCTCTGTGCTCGAACTCGTAGGCCATCTCCGCCGCCGCCAACGACAGCGCCAATTGAGCGCAAATACTCAACGTTTCGAGCGCTGACTCGAATTGACGCGCCTCTAAGTCTGAGCCGCCGTTCGCCAGCTGTAGGACAACGTAGAGCTGGTCTTCGGTGTAATTGTTGGGGTCGTCGTTCTCACTGGTCTTCTCGTCGTCGAACGCATTCCACGCGTCCATCAGTTTCTGGGGAAACAGACCGCGAGTTGCGGTCACTCTTAACATATGGATATAATTGGGCGCTCTGTTGGCCGTCAACCCTGTCTTCAATTTATTGAATTCTTTAGAAATGACTAATTCGGGCAAAATGTGCGAAAACAACTCCTCTTCTTCTTGCCCTCCATTAGTGATGAGTGCAATCACTTTAATCACCACATCTTTGCCGGTCCTGTCTTTAGCCATAAACACCTCTCCATACGATCCTTCGCCGATCTTCCGACACGTTTTGAGCACTTGTGGGTCAAAGACGTCCTCAAAATCGATCACTTCGTTTGGATCGCAAAGAAGCAAAACTTTCTGTTTAGTACTCAATAGTGTTTGTCGTCCGTCGACCACAACCTTAGAGGTGGAGAACATTGTCTGACTTAAAGCCGATTCAATACTTTGTTTGAGATGTTCTTTAGACGCGAACTGAGTTCTTATCGTCTGTTTGTCGCCAAAATGAGCACAACTACGAGCGCCGACGGGAGTGGCGGTCCTCACGACTGTTCGGCACAGCCGTGAAGACTGACTGTACATTGAATGGACGCAATGGACGCTCATTATATGCTTTTTTAAATCCACTTTCGCAGCATATTCTTTATTACAATCACCAAAATGACATTTAAACTTTTTTATATTCAAATGTCTATTCATATGATCTTGAAGTTGAGTTTTTTTAGCAAAACTTTTATTACAACCATTGAAATCACAATCAAATGGTTTATCTCCCGAATGCAAGCGTTGGTGTTGTAAGAGATTAGACTTTGACTTAAATATTTTGCCACAATTTTGTTCATCACATTTGAATTTGCGTTCATTTAAATGAACACTATTTTTGTGTTCAGATAAATAACTTTTATTTGTAAATGTTTTGTAACACTCATTGAAATCGCAAACAAATCTTTCATTTAAATGAGTGATCCTTTTATGTCTATCTAAATGTGACTTTTGTTTATATAGTTTATTACAATCATTAAAATCACATTTAAATTGTCTTATTTTTGAATGATTTAATTGATGTGTTTTTAGCATCGATTTGGTTATTGCCTTGAATTGACATTTAGGCCAAAAGCACTGGAAATACTTATGATTTTTATCTATATATGAATGAACTATGAATTTATGTCTAGTTAACATTTGTTTAGATTTAAACACTTTATCACATTCACTGAAATCGCACGTAAATTGTATATTTTGATGAACATTTTTGTTGTGTTGAGACAATTGAAATTCATTTTTAAAACTTTTATTACAATTATTAAAATCACATTTAAATGGTTTGTTGTTTGAATGAACCGATTGATGATACCTTAAATGTGGTTTAAATTTAGTCTTATAATCACATTTAGGCCAAAAACAGTGCCATTTCTTATCCATAACTGTATTAATAGTTGTTTTAGTATTTAAAGCGATTTTATTTTAAATTTTAATTGTTTGTTCACTCAATCAATCTTAGGATATATTTTCGCATTCAATCGCTTCACACAAAACACTATTATTTGTATTCAAAATATTCACAACAAAATCAAAACTAAACACAAATAACTTTTGGCCAAATATCACTTTACATGTTATATGCCTTTCAAATATACAAATCAGTTCTGTTTCAAACATTTTCTTGCATTTGTAAAGAAAGTCATATTTATTTTGAGTCAAAGTTGAAATAATTGAAATGTGCAACATTAAAAAACAAATAATCAACATTAAAAATCACTCATAAAGTGCCAAACAATGTGTTTTCATTTCACTGTCATTGATGAGTCAAATGTCAATTCAAGTGCTAATCATTGACCGGCGATAGGGATGTAACGCATAAATGCACTCAAATCATAGGCAAACCAATCAAAACCACTGCTATTTTTTATTTTTTTGTGAGATATAGGTTCACAGATACAAAATATTACCAAGGCCAAATAATAACCACGTTCAAAGAGCCCCTCTATATTTTGGCATGGTCTATTCTATGTGCATATTATTGTATATATTATATAATTTATAGTTGAAATTCCATCGAATAAACATTATACAATAAAATGCATTATAATTTTTATTTCAAATTTAGAGGTAAATAAGTATACAGGGCAATTATAAACAGTAAAAATTTGGTTTTTTTGGTAAATTTCAAATTTTAAAAAAAGTTTATTTGAATGCAAATAATATTTATGCGAAAAATATGAGTGTCGAAAGACATACAAACATACAATTTAATACCGAGGGATCAATTGATGGCTTTCATGGCCTTCTTTAGCATAAGTTGTGCGGTGTGTGGGCCTAAGAGCTTGTATTCAACATTCAAATTATTATTTTCCACACATTTAGCACATAATTGTGATACAAATGTCTTATTCAATACGTCTCTCAATTCAATGATAATAAACCTTTCGCTGGCATCTGTTGTCAAGAGATTAATGAGATAATAATAATGCAATTAATAAACAATAGTTTTAAATAAAATTATAAAATAGCAAACCTTCTGAATTGCAATCGAAGCTACAATTATTGATTAAATCAGTTATTGAATGAGTTTTTGTGTCAACAATAAAAACGTGATTATTGTTTGGTTTAATGCATATCATCGGTGGTGAGGCCTCGACACAAGCGTACAGACATTGGATGTCAGTATACGTCAAACAAATTCTGGTCACACTTTCTTTCTTCATATTGATTGTCACAACACTATTGAAAACAATACCGTATTTCTGGAATTCAATGGAACCGACATTTGGCTCGTATTTACCAAAGAATAAACTTTTGGGAATCACTGCAAAAGGAATCTCTTGTTTTGCCACAACTTTTGATGTTTTCGCTGAAGTTTCCAATTCCTTATATTTCTGAACCAATTCTTTGTGCAAACCATCCGTTTGTTTGTATTTCACTTCTAAATCCCGTGACTTTTCTTCACTTTTCTTAAGTTTTGTCTCCAAATCCTTATATTTCTGAATTAATTTTGTATACAAATCATCCGTTTGTTTGTATATCATTTCTAAATATCGTGACTTTTCTTCACTTTTCTCAAGTTTTGTCTTCAAATCTTTGCTGAAACCATCAGTTTGTTTGCATTTCGACTCCAGATTTAGTGCTCTTTCTTCAGATTCCTTTAGTTTTGTCTCCAATTCTTTGATTTTTGTTTCCATTTCTTTAGTTTTTATATCAAATTCTTTGTCCTTTTCTATCCATTCATTGCATTTCATTTGCCATTCATTTCGGTCTGTCTTAAGGCCTTCAATACAGTTGTGGTCATCAGTTATCGGACCCATACTTAGACCACATGTTTGGCATAATCTGTATTGACATGTCTTGAGATGAGTGGGTAATGACTTTAATGGACACACTTCTGGACATCCGTTCCACTCATAATCACATCTAATCCTAAATTTACCGATGATTTTATCAATGCGAGGATTTCTATCCACAAAAACATTGCCTTTGATTACGACCTCATTTGTATGATTTAGTGAACGCTTTCTTGTGGTCAACAGGTATTGACATTCGGGACACTCTTTGGTGGTCTGCGGTCTTGAGAGCCATTGATTGAGACACTCGTGACAGAAGGTATGTTCACATCGAGTGACTAATGTGTTGTCCAACACTTGTAGACAAATACCACATTTGAAATCGTCGGCCAAAACAGACAACGACTCAATGGCCTTAAGATCGGGGAAACGGTTGCAATCAAAGCCAGGCATTGATTCAATATTCAATCACTTCATACAAAACAATAATATTTGTATTCAAAGTAAGTTTATTTAGTTCAAAATATATTTAAATGTTAGTTTGTCTATTGTTTCGCACAAAAACTTTATGTAAATGTATTAATTTTTAACAAATTTTGGTAAAAATATTCACACAAAACAATCGATTCAATCTTTAGCTTAAATATGATATGAAGTGAATGATTGGAAAAGAGGGTAAAGAATGCAAAGCACTCATCAGTTTGGCTCACTGTAGCTCCAAATAGGTTATGCCTAACTTAGGCTCACTTTACAATGTAAATACACCAAATTTAAAGTTTACATCAAGTAATCCTGGTAAATTTGGTGTTATATTACATATTGTATATGTTATACTAAAATTTAGTAACTAAATTATTGTCTGTATTCCATATGTTATATTCCATGTGTTATATTATACGTGTGGACTTTGGGTCACATGTAAATACATGTGTGTCTACATTATGTTGAGGCCCTGAAGTAATGGTGAATAAATATTTATATCGTCCAAATCATTACACATAAATTTATTAATGTATTAACTTATTCAATTAGTAATGCGATACTTAAATTCAAGGATTATTTTAATAATAAAATTTAAATGTTAAACACATTATGATTTTGTGATCATTATCAATCATTTTAATATTGAATTGTGAATAAAATATACCATTTATTATGAAATACACTTAAGAATAAATGCTAAGAATATATTGTTGTGTCTAAAGAATATTCTTTATGGGAAATCCCAGAATTTACAGACTTTTCAATAGTTTGATATTTACAATACATAGCAATACTAAAGAATTGCTCTAAGAATTTATCTAAGAATTCAGTCTTTGCAGTGGTTTGAGGGCCAAAAAAACAAAAGTTAATTAACTATACACTTTATTATTTAAAACGGGGTTTGTTTGGTGTTGTCGGTGATTGTGTTTAAAGTATTGATCTCTCGGACCAATCAATACAAATATTAGTTCTTAAAAGAGAATATTCCGTATAAATCAATGCAAACATTAGTTTTAATAACTTTTTTTTTATTTTACAAAATTATTTTTATATAAATTATAATACATGGGATATTAAAATAAGATAATTGGTATTTATTCAATACGTGTTTTAACAATACTAGAATTGCAAACTGGGTCAGTTATAATTAAGCTAAAAAGTGTTGTATACATAAAAGTTGCAAATAATGAAGTAAATCTATTAGATGTGGTGCATTAATCAACTTATTAAATTACAAACAAATTTGTTGCTGTGGTACATTTACATTGATAGGTAATTTGAAATAGTTAAATATAAATAGTTAAATTTTTACATGTACACGCATTATATGGCGCTTTAATTCGCTACGTGTAACAAACTGTTGACTACAGTTATCGTAATAGCATTTATGGTTTTTTATATCCAAATGTCTATTCTTATGAACTTTTAAATGTTGTTTGTAAGCAAAACTTTTATTACAACCATTGAAATGACAGTGAAATGGCTTTTCTCCCGAATGACACCGTCTGTGATGTAAAAGATGTTGCTTTGACTTAAATATTTTGTCACAATTTTGTTCATCGCATTTGAATTTTCTTTCATTCAAATGAACACTATTTTTGTGTCGAATTAAGCTTTTATTTTCTGTAAAAGTTTTATAGCAATCATTTAAATTGCAAACATATTTCTTATAAAAATGAGTTATATTTTTATGTCTATTTAATTGTGATTTACATTTATATACTTTATTGCAATTATCAAAATCACATTTAAATTGTTTTATCGCCGAATGATTTAATTGATGTGTTTTTAGCATCGATTTGGTTATAGCTTTGAATTGACATTTAGGCCAAAAACATTGAAAATAGACATTATTTTTATCCAGGTATGAATGGACAGTGAATTTATGTCTAAGTAAATTGTATTTAGATTTATACACTTTATCACATTCACTGAAACCGCACACAAATGGTATGTCTATGTTATGAACATTATTGCTGTGTTTAGATAGTTGTGAACGATATTTGAAGCTTTCTATACAACCTTTGAAATGACACTCAAATATCTTTTCTCCCAAATGACAGCTTTTGTGCCGTAAAAGAGTTTGCTTTGACTTAAATATTTTGTCACACTTTTCTTCATTGCATTTGAATTTTCTTTCATTCAAGTGAACCCTATTTTTGTGTCGAATTAAGCTTTTATTTTCTGTAAATGTTTTATAGCACTCATTGAAATCGCAAACATATTTCTTATAATAATGAGTGCTATTTTGATGTCTATCTAAATGATGCTTATATTTGTATAATTTATTACAATTATTAAAATCACACTTAAATTGTTTTATGTCTGAATGTTTTAATTGATGTGTTATTAGCATTGATTCGGTTGTTGTTTTGAATTGACATTTAGGCCAAAAACAGTTAAAATAAGTATGACTTTTATCTGGATATGAATGAACGAGCACTTTATGTCTAATTAAATTGTATTTTGATTGAAGCACTTTACCACATTCACTGTAATCACATACAAATCTATTTTTGTGAGCATGATTATTGTGGTTATTTAATTGTAATTCACTTTTAAAACTTTTATTACAATTATTCAAATCACATTTAAATGGTCTGAATTCTGAGTGAACCAATTGGTGAGCATTCAAATTGTATTTAAATTTAGTCTTATAATCACATTTAGGCCAAAAACAGCGCAATTTTTTATCCATAACTGAATTTATAGTTATTTAATTATTTAAAGTGGTTTTATTATAAATTTTAATCATTTGTTGAATTAATTGATATGCATTCATATATTTTTGCATTCAACATATTATTATATATAAAAATATAATAAATAATTAAAAGTATAAAGTAGGGCAGAGAGAGAGAGAAAGAGAGAGAGAGAGAGAGAGAGAGAGAAGCAGAGGTTGAGTGGAGGGACCATAGAGTCGATGACTCACATCTTCCCTCCCCATCCTCTGTGATCATGTGTGAGCACAAAGACTCACACATAAAAACACATACATAGAGCGATGTTGGAGTCGGCGGCCATCACTCTCTCTCCAACCTTCACTCTATGTGTTTGTGTCACCACAACATCTCCGCATCCCTTGTCCTTGTGCTCCGTTTTAATTAAATAATAATATATACCGGTGTTTTTTAATAGTCAACCCCAACCTAGTCAAAATAATTACATAATATCCAACTGAACCCGGTGTTATTTGGGCTTTTAAGCCCAAATATAGTCATTAACTTTTCTAGTCATATCAAAGACTATGACTTATATCAGTGATATCACTATAACCCACATATTCTAGTCTATACTGTATTCAACTATACCAGTGATATAGTCTCCTCTGCTCTCACTCTCTATTATATAACTCTCCGGTGAACCTATAGTCAATAGCCTTGACATTGAAAGGCGAAAACCAGTCAAGTGGACCATCAATACCGGTACTATTCCTAGTCAATGTAAGTTTATTAATTGTTTAATTAAAATGTTTACGCAATGCATACCGGTTTTAACTATTTATTTAAATTTAATATAATTATGTAAATATTTTAGTTGCGCGTATAGGGGAGGGGTTAGCTAGGGGATGTATATTTATGTATATATTTATAGACGTAATATAATTTAAAATTAATATTTATATCTAATCGTCACTTTGCATTTACCATGTGTGCAATAATTTATATCTAATTGTCACTTTGCATTTACCATGTGTGCAATATTTTATATCTAAATGACACTTTGCATTTACCATGTGTGCAATATTTTATATCTAATTGCCACATTACATTTGTCACTTGTGTAATGTTCTATAATTGTAATATATTATAGTCGCGCGCTCGAGATCTTATAATAGAAATATTTGTTGCAACTATTCATTTGGTGACTTATAATTATCTATTCATATATAACTAACAGTTATCCCAAACACATCTCGAGTTTAGTGAAGCTCCATTCGAGCCCCAATTGTTATTATAAGAGTAGCACGTTCTTATAACGCGTCCAAAGAATCACCTATCCTCTTACCTAAATCATTCCATTAGTCTATCTATTTTATATTTAATCCAATAATTAATCCAAGTTTTATTAATGAAATGTTTTATATCTAGAACCCTAACTCTATAAATATCTCTAATCTATGTCTGACTCTCGATTGTATAAAGAGTCACATAACGGTGTATGTATATAGCCCGATTTTAGTTGTCTTAATGGATGTTTCGTAATTGACCCTCATTTGGACTACTTCCGACTCCTCGCGCCGGAATCATTAACTCTTAAGGGTGATCCCTAAGACCGAGAATCACGATACTTCCTTAGTCAGGAATACCTGTCCACTGTCGCTCTTCTATCTAGTTGCTATACGCCTACAGGTATGCGCCGCAGAGTGCCACACCCGAGTTCCGGTGCCGTTGCGTGCCGCCGTTCGGCGTGTCGACCTCCATATGCGTGTGTACCGCCGCACACTGCGTCCTGACCAGAGTCATTGAGACAGTCGTTGGACGACACGTCTGACACTCGAGGCCACACTCCCCGTATAGGGTGGTACTCACCACTCGTTCGGGAAGTTACCCACCTTATATGCTAATATATCATCTTGTAACCACAGATTAGTGTAGATAGTCATTTGCAAAGTGCGGCATACACTTATCTATGCCTGGCGTCCGCGTTATTAATTACAATGTTTATGGTAGGAAGTGCCGACAGATGGCCTCACTAGGTTTGGCACGTAGTCAAAACACAGAACAAGGGTTAAATAATATAGAGGTACTTCCTATACATGACATTTTTTGGCGTCCGCGACAGGATTGGTTGCCTTTAATTAATGAGAAATCATTAATTAACTTGGCCTTTGACCATACAGTAATGATTACTCAATAATCATTACAAGAATCTGCTTTTAACCCATATATTGTCGTAATATTAGTAGATTGCCAGTAATTAAAACCCTCATTGTAAAAATTAGTTTAAATTATAATGCTGATCAATACATAATAATATTATGTATGTTTACCCCATATATCAGAATAAAATATAAATAGTTAACCTCGCGTAAGCAATAAAGCCTAAAAGATTAACAAAAAATATACATATAAATAAAATGAACGAATGGAAACAATTATATAACTTAACAATTAACTAGATATCTAATTAAATACACTATTTGTAATTACTAACCCTGCTAAACCCTCGATTGACACATTTGGCCGATTTTTAGCCAACTTCCATTTACTCCATAAATAGTTGAATTAGCTGTAATTAATCATACTTCAACCCTCTTTCACCACATTTGGTCAATTTTTTAACCAACTTCCATTTACTTTATAAATAGTAGTATTTACAGTAACTAATCATATTTTACCCTAAAATAACATACTTTGGCCGACTTTTTGGTCAATTCCCATTTAATTCCGAATAATAAAATTAATTATATTTAACCTTTAATCACTATACTTGGCCGAATTTTTTTTTCCCTGCCAATTTTTATTCACTTTACAAATAACCGAATAAACGATAAAGTATGAACACTTTACGATGAAATTATATATATATTGAATTAAATAAATTAAAAATTTATAAAAATTAGCTTAAAATTGAAAACATATTACCCACGGTTCGAGTCTATAAGAACAATAATCTTTCATTATATCGCTTTTACTATGGTTTTGAAAGATAGCTATTATAAACAAGTCTCAAATAAATATTGATAGTATTAATTGTTTAATTGAATTTATAATTACGAAGCCCGAAAGATGATCAAATTCAAATTTTACGACAACCAGACTCAACTAATGAATGACAATTTGTTCAAAACATATTGATAATTAATGAATTAAAAAATAAAAATATAAAACTATAGGATAAATTGAAATATTTATATCCCAATTAAATAGAATAGAATTAAATTTAGTAATAATAAATTAGTTAGGTTTATACCAGATTTTATTCAACCCTACAGTGATTGAATTCAGGTTATAAACTTTAGTAGGTTTATGGAAGCAACTCATTGTGTTCATTTATTGTGAATGGTGCCTTTCTGAGATTGATCACTTCAGAAAGAGATTAGTTACATTAAATGTATATCTTACACTAAAATGTATTAAAAATAAAATATATGATGAGTTGCCGATAGAAACAACGTAATTAATATTTTCTAAATTTTTATAAATTATAAAACAATGAAAAGATGGAACTTATTAAAAATCATGTGTTGTAAACCTTCAAAGATAAAATAATATTAACTGGACAATTTATAAACTATACACAATTATAAACATATTACACTATAGTTATAACTCACTTAAATATATTAAATTCACAAGACAACCCACAATACACTGATTACAACATAAACAATTAAAAATAGTCAAATATAATAATATCCATTTTAGAAATTATGAAAGGTTATTTTAATTACAACACACGATTTTGGACAATAGTTTCAATAAAATAAAAATAATAGTTTGTTATGAATTACGATACTATAACTCAGAGATTAGTGAATCCCGGGATAACTCAAACAAATACTAATCACGTTTTATATACAGCTAGGTACCATTGTTTTAAATATAATAGTTTATTAAAGGGATAATTTGATAAAATTGAGAAATAACAAATAATTAAAAGTCGACGGGTGAAATCTTTAGAGACAATTTTGAATGGTGCGACAATGATTTAATGTAGACGGCCGTCTCACTAAGCCCAGACTAACAAGTCATGGGTGTCGTTGAGCGCATTGTCAAAATTGGTCAATAAAGTGTATGATATGATTGACAATGAGTGTATTTGTCATGATCAATGAATTAAAATATATAAAATAATTGAGAATAATGATTTTGGCATGGCCAAGTGAATAAAAAAATAAATAGAAATTAAATAAAAAGTTAAAATAAATAAGAATAAATATATAAATAAACGAGCTCTAAAATTAGATTAGTTGATTAATGTATTATCATATTTATTGAAGTATTTAAGCAAAATATTCACAAGTTAAAAAATAATGCATGTACATTCGTATTTAAGTAATAGTATACACACAAACATTTTAAATAAATATATATATGCGTTCATATATGAACTGAATAACTGACCTCTTGTGCCAGTGTTAACTAAATCTTACCATTTTAAAATGCGTATAATTGACAACAAGTAAACTGCTATAAAACACGGACCCTCAGAATGGTCGGCCCTTCTGAGCGCCGGAAATGACAACTATTCAAACGAGCGGCGGTGTTCAGAGCTCACCTCCGGATAGATCAAAGACCTAATTTGTTGTCGACTGCCGTCTCACCGGATGACTGGGGAAGCAGTACTCCCGTTCACTAAATATCTTTCGGTTGAGTCCTTATCATCCGGGTCTGAAATTATCAATCGACAGTAACGAGAGGCCTTACATCTTGACCACCTCCCGGCTGATGCCGGTCGTACTAAGAGATATCAACACATAAGCGAATAAATCAAATGCCAACAATAATACAAAACAGAGACGCGCGATATAATTACGACTTTGTC